CCTCCCCGAGTCCAGCAAGGAACCCTGGACAGAAATAATATTTAGGACTGACCGCAACTGTACCATTTCGTAGGTAGGCAACACAGGGACCGACCGAGCATAATCACCCAAGGCCAAAGGGTGACCATGAATGATGAGGATGCATGTTAGAAGTTCGATGCACGAGCACGGAGCCAACCAACAAAAACATCCTTATAACCACTCACACGCCCTCACGGTCGCCAGGCAAAACACCAATAAACGAACCACCCCCCACTTGCCCATGGCAAGCAAGCAAATGGAAACATCGCATGGCACCAAGTCTGGCATCGCTAGGCATGGATGAGGCAAGCGGGCAAGCAGGGCAATGCAAAGAAAGTTTGGGTCATCATGGCAAAGAAAGTTTGGGTGTGCTGGACGCACATGGCAAGGGGACAAACAAAAGGCTACAGTCAAGCAAAGCATGTTTGGGTGAGTGGGTGTAACGTGAGGAAGGGGGTGCAAACAAGAAATGGGGTGCAAGCACGAAAGAGGGTGCAAGCATGTCAACATGTGCAAGCACGGCAAGGTGTGCATGCACGGCAACGGATAAGGTAGTGCAAGCACGGCAAGGTGTGCTAGCACAGGGGTAGTGAAGAAAATTTGGAGGAGGCACGGGAAGAAGCCCCAGTAACCACCCGCTCAAGCCAGCAATGACTCAAGACTCCACACAAAGTGCGTTGTGTCGGGGATCAGACAACTCTCGCCCAGGATACCCTGAATCACTACGGTCATCACCCCTCTGATTGTCGTGACCGTCTCCCAACACCACAAAGAATGGACTCCACGACCGATAGAATCCTTAACATTTTGAGGGACAGACTCGATATCGCAGATCCCAGTGAGGGTAGTGCCCTTCGTGTGGACGAAGATTGTTAGTCAACACCTCGAATGCCGAACGCCATTGCCCCATTTAGCAATTTTGTCCTTCATGTGGACGGAGACTAACTCCCAACACCTCGAACGCCGACCACCATTGCCTATAGTTTCCTTGAAATCTCGAAAGCCCACAAAATCTCCAGACCCGACCGATAGCTTTGGCCACCCATTATGATGTTAAAATAAGTCACGCAACGCTGCCACACATTTCCGAGGGTCAGGCAAAAAATCGACCAACCGAGCTTACCGATCGGACCGACCAAAGTCGACCGACCGGGTCCACTAGATCGACCGACCGAGGTCAACCGACCGAAGCTTACCGACCGGATCGACCAAGTCGACCGACCGGTCCACTAGAATCGACCGACCGAGGTCGACCGACCAGCTTACCGACCGAACCGACCGAAGTCGACCGACCGGTCCACCAGAATCGACCGACCGAAGCTTACCGACCGGACCGACCGAAGTCGACCGACCGAGTCAGCTAAAGTCGATCGACCGAGGTCGACCGACATGTAGCCACGACGATGGAATCACCCATGACCAGCCACTGGAACATGTATTGGAAGGGTCAAGGCAACCGTGGGACATGGGGGGGAGAGTCCCGTGGCAGCACCAGACTTGTCAGTGTGGGTGGCAAGGTTGAGGTGCACACACCCCCCCCCCCTATAATAGGCTAATATGCCATTTTGAAAATTGTACAAGTAGATACACTTTTTGTGAGTAGACATAAGTCCGAAAAATGGACCTAGGGATCGAATTTTGATGCGATTTTTTGCAGTATTCCTTATAAAAATAACATAACCCTGTTCCCCAAATCTGGGAATTTAAATCAAATGGGAAGTATATTTTTTTATTTTTCAAAGTGCCGAAATGCGAAAAATTGGGAAAAATAGAAAATGGTATCTAGAGATCGAATTTTGATGCGATTTTTCGCATGCAATCCCCTATTAATATTTCCAAGCTACCCTCCAAATTTCGTTTCAATCGGACAAAGCATTGAATTTCTATGATTTTTCATATGAAGCGGGCAACACCGAAGTTTGAAAAAAGGCTTCAATATGGATGTCTTATGCCCCAACACTTTCCCAGTATATTGAGGGGTCTAATTTAAGTTTATTGGTGCAAACAATATGAAATTGGCACGGGAAAATAAAATTTGACCCATGACACCAAATCCGACCGTGCTGACCAACGAGACCACGACCAAAGACCAAGATTAGCACCAAGATCGGCACCAACGCACCAGGATCAAGCACCGGACCAAGCACCACAGCAAGCACCAAGACCAGCACCACCAAAACTGACCGTGGCATCATGCACCAGCCTAAAACTGACCGAGCTAGCCACCACCAAACCGACCGAGGCACCATGCACCGACCCTAATCTGACCGAGCCAGCCACCACCAAACCGACCGAGGCACCATGCACCAGCCTAAATCTGACCGTGCTAACCTAACTGACCACGACCAGGCACCAACGATCAAGTACCACGATCGAGCACCAAGCACACCAGGACCAAGCACCGGAACCAAGCACCACGATGCACCAAGACCAAGCACCACCAAAACCGACCGTGGCACCATGCACCAGAAAAACCGACCGAGGCACCATGCACCAGCCAAATCCGACCGTGCCAGCAGAACTCACCAGGACCAAGCACCAAGCATAAGCACCACGATCAAGCACCAAGACACCAGGACCACGACCGGGACCAAGCACAACAGACAGCACCAAGACCAAGCACCACCAACACCGACCGTGGCACCATGCACCAGCAAAACTGATCGAGCCAGCCACCACCAAACCGACCGAGACACCATGCACCAGCCAAATCTGACCGAGCCAGTCACCACCAAACTGACCGAGGCACCACGCACCAGCCAAATCTGACCGTGCTGTAGAACTCACCAGGACCAAGCACCAGTATAAGCACCAAGATCAAGCACTAGTGCACCAGGACCAAGACCGGACCAGCGCC